TGGTGATACTAGAGAGCTTCAAAGTAGGATGGTACACCCCCCAAAAAACTGGGTCGAGTCACCTTAAGGGTGCGTTTCTTTACTAAAATCCGAATCCGGATTTTCAATCCGAAAACGGATATTTCGTTTCTTTACTAAAATCCAAAAACGGATCATTGATCCAAACCACCCACAACGGAGGTGGATTCTTTGTATCATATCCAAAACCGGATACTTTTTGGATACATGATCCGAAGCGTTTCTTTACTACGGATCCGAAAACAGTGAATATTGCCAGCGGTAACTCGAAATACATCAGCTTTTTGACAAAACTGCTTAATCTTTATGGCCATTTTTGAATCTGAGTCATGGATTAAACGATCGATTTTATCCGTTTTATCGGGGTGATAAAATCGCAATACAAACAGGACCTGCATTGTTCTGGTGACAAGGAAAAAACTGGTACACAACCTCGCCGGCGCATCTTGCACTGAAGACTTTACTTTTCCAATACATATCTTATTTCAATACTCGTCTTCATTTGGCCGTCTGAATCTAACCGTCTAGAATACAATGAAACATCTAGACTACGAGTAGTCCCCCATTTTTCCTCAGAGATAGTAGAGCGTGCGAAACGCGAGCGCGCGTGAAAATCACCCCACGCGAGAAAAGGCGACACGCTGCGTGTCGCCTTTTCTCGCGTGGGGTCATTTTCACGCGCGCTCGCGTTTCGCACGCTCTACTATCCCTGAGGAAAAATGAGGGACTACTAGTAGTCTATGAAACATTAGCAACTTGTCAGCAGCTGTGTTATTCTTTCTCCGTGACACCGTCGATATTATGGGTCGTTTCTATGGAAATGAATGAAAAGTAATCCCTTTTTGGATACATCGTTTCTTTTCTCAATGAAATATCCTAATGATCCGGATTTTTTATCTGATATTGGATTTTAGTAAAGAAACGCACCTTAAGATTTAAATTCAGTCTAATAAAAAAATTGCTCCCTCCATGTCTTTTCAAGGGTGTGACAATGAGACTGCTCTTTCGTACATCAGTTCTTTTTGTCTTGGGTCAACTACTCTACAAAACAGTGACTCAGCGATGCGGATCCGAGATATCCATCTTCGGCTGGATGTTACAGGGACATATCTACAGCACGATGTTAGTAGACCTCCCGCATACATGCGTACAAGTTTGTCGCGAAGACGACCGATGTCAAAGCTTTAACTGGGTGATCTCTCTCCTCAAGTGCGAGTTTAGTAACAGAACTAAGGAAGCCAGACCTGAGGATTTCATTTCAGATCCAGACAGATTTTACTACAAACGTGATAGGAACAGAGGTGAAAAACAGTTTCCAATTCATTATAAATAATTGTGATAACTGATCAATGCTGATTAAGGTCGAAGCAATGGTCTCTAATCAGTTGAGTCAAATTTGGACGACCACGTATCGGGAGTTAATAAAGAGAGACAGAATTGCACGAAACGAAGTAGTGTCACGAATTAATCACAACGTATAATAAAAACAAAATTTGTAATAATTTCAACTTTTTTCTAAAAAGTAACCCATTCAAAAGCAACTGTCCCAATAAAAGTGTACCGAATGGTGCATATAATGTACTGTCCAATTACTTGAGCGCCAATATCAGGGCGACAGATAACCAATCAGTTTGGAGGATTATGTCAAGGCTGTGAGGAAGCTACTCTTCCTGAAGTGTGATTTAGCCAACTGACTGTCTATCAAATAATAAACGAAATTATACGTCTTGTTTCAGTACCTCTGGGTTCCATTCCTGAACTACCGGCTGAAACCTGTTTAGAAATAAAGATGAGTGAAGGTCATGCAATCAGTCGAAAGTATTGGTTTTCTTCCATTCAAACTGGCACGTCTGTTCTTGCATACTGTGATATGAAAACTGAAGGTGAGTTTTAATTTTTATAGGTAAGCTATGAGAAAGAAACTCGAAAAAGAAAAGACCGAGAATGTTTTTGAGATGAAGAGAATGAGCCTATAAAATAATCCTGAGAAGAACATGCTCTTCAACGTATTTTCGATTTTGCGATACACTGTTAAATTTCCTGTGAAGTGAACGATTAAATTGTGAACGGATTTTAGAGTTATATTTATCTTTTGATGTTATTGGCGTAGGGAATGAATGAGAATTCGGTGGAAATAAAATACTTCTAAAGCAAAGGAGTAGTGGGGACTAGGGCTGAATAAGTTGAAGTGCAAGTCTAAACCGTCGTTCAGCTCAGTGCATCCTTTATTATGCGATATATACCAAATGCTTGGACGTAATTTAATGTTGCAGGATAAGGTTTTGCTATTATTTCCGGTGTTTTCGGCCAAAACTACCAAAATAGTATACAACTATCCCCCGAAGGGAAGGTGAATAGTGGGATATATACCGAGACGCGAACTATAAAATCCAGCCTCGTTCCAAGCCGTCCTCTGCTGTTTCGGATGTGACGTCACCTGTCAAGCTTGTCGGGAAAATTCGCCGAGGACGTCCTCGAGCTATCGTGCTCGATTCCAAGTCTCCTCTGGTCACTCGGATAGCGCGAAGCGGCCTCGTTACGAGGCCGGTATTAATCCGGTGTATGACATTTGCAGACTGCAGACCGCAGACCGCAGACTGCAGACTGCAGACTGCATGAGGCAGCAAGACTGTTAATTGAATGAAACCAAAAATATCTTAATAAAGGTGGCGTCATCATCATTACTTTGTTCCGAGAAGTAAGGCCTAGAAGCGAAGTTTATATTTTTCACGCAAATTACACCGACCTCATTGCTAAAGGAGCTGTTGGCTGTTCTTTTCGTATTGAATTAGAGCAGAATAATGTCTGCCGATGTCACAAACTTGCTCATGAATCCATAGCAACAGTCTAGCAATTTAGCCTGCACCACAGACGAAATTAAACTATGGTTATATAAGTCTGTCAGTGAAACAGCGCTGGAATCCTTATTCTACGGGGGCCCCACCTGTGTACTAGGACTTGAGTATGAGCAAT